CTTAGAAAAGATGCGTAAAGGTCTAGAAGTTTCTGTCAAGGAGCTGCAAGGTCGTCTTGAGGAATGTGAAGCTAATGCACACAAGACCGGCAAGAAGGCCCTTGCTAAATTGGAAACCCGGATGCGTGAACTGGAATCACAGTTCGACGACGAGACTCGCCGTCACGCCGACGTCCAGAAGAACCTGAGGAAGTGCGAGAGGCGCATCAAGGAACTAACCTTCCAGTCCGACGAGGACAAGAAGAACCACGAGAGGATGCAGGACCTGGTCGACAAGCTCCAGCAGAAGATCAAGACCTACAAGCGCCAGATCGAGGAGGCCGAGGAGATCGCCGCCCTCAACCTGGCCAAGTTCCGCAAGGCCCAACAAGAATTGGAAGGAATTAGGAACTAGAAGAGACATTCTCCTATTGTACATAATGAGTAATTTATGTGAAAAATCTTCAGTTCCAAATTTGCAAAGATATAGATAAAATCTTAAAATTATAACTTGCTTTATACCTCCCCTAAATTACTGAAGTATACCTTGATGATAATTATCCATGTTATATATTTGTGTGTGTGTGTGTGTGTGTGGGAAAAAAAGAGTGGAAGAGGAGGAAGTAGAGGGGAGTGAAAAAGCGAATATGAGAGGTACGAGGGGAAATATGGCAGGATACAGGGCAGAATTTGGGTAGGATGGAGGCAGAATAGGATAGAGATAGAGGCAGAATGTATAAGGAGAAGTAGAGGAGTGAGAGATAAACAGAGTAGCAGAGGAGAGTAAAAAGATGAAAGAATGGTAAGAGAGGGATAGAAGGCCCGGGGATGGAAGGGGGGATACGAAATGGGTCTGGTCTGGGGCGGAGGTTGAAAATGTCACAAAGCCTGTGATTAGCAAATTTTAGCACTATATAAATGTAAGTTGATATAAGGAGCTAGACTCATAGAGATCGGTAGACTGTGACACTTACTAGAAATAACATTCCGTTATTGTTAGCCAGAGAATATCTTAATGGAATCATATCCAGAATCGTCGGCAATGACATACTAAAAAAGGAAATTAAATAATATAATACTCTTGAGATAAATTTACATTAGGGTATTTGTAACAGTCACGAAAGAAATGAAAAACATCAGGGGTAGAAGATATGGGGAAAACGGGGGGAGGAGAAAGGGGAAATGGGGAATAGAAATAAGGGAATAAGAAGATAAATGAAATAAATAAACAAATAAGAAAGTTAGGTCACAAACAGTACACTGTAAGAAAAATAATTGCATATTTCACACAAAATGTACTGGCATCTTCTCCTACGACGGTTTCCTTATTTAGGGGTTGTCACTTTCCACATACCGCTTTTCTCCACTTCTTTCGGTCTTGTGCCCACTGCTCTTTGATGTTCCTTTTCTTCATGTCGGCCATCACACAATCCAGTCACCTCTTTCTTTGTCTTCCTCTGCTCCACTTCCCAGAGATAGGCAGATCCATCGCTTTCCGTATGCCTTCTTTTCATATGGCCGAACCATGTGAGTCTTGCCTCTTCGATCTTGCTACTAATGCTTGTGACTCCTGCTTCAGCTAACACCTCTTCGTTTGTTCTCTGCTCTCTTAGACTGATTTCCAACATCCACCTCAGCATTCTCATATCCGTTCTTTGCAGCAGGCTCTCTTATTCCCTTCTTAAGTTTCTGCTCCGTACAATAACACAGGTCTTATCACAGTTTTGTACTTTCTCACATCCTCCTTCACTTGCCATCGTGCTGCAGAGATATTTGAACTTGTCAACTTGGTTATACTTTGCGCCGCTCTCCTCTTTGATGTTTATCTTTCTTCTTGCTCCTTTGCTGCTTCTCATGACGACAGTCTTCTTCAGGTTCACTTTTAGCCCTCGACCCTCGAGTGCCTTCTTCCACTTCCTGAGCTGTGCTTCTTTTCACTCGTTGATGAAATGACCAAGTCGTCGGTGAACAACATTTCCCAGACCAATCCTCCTTCACACTCCTCGCTCACCATGTCGATAACTATGATGAACAGGAATGGACTCAGGCTTGATCCTTGATGAAGGCCGACTCTCACTTCAAATTCTTCCGATGTTCCCTGTTCTGACCATTGTGGTTACACTTTCGTAGGTATCCTTCACAATGTTAATGAGGTACTCTGGAACTCCTTTCTTCCATAGACACCAGCATACCAGCTCTCTGGGCACCCTATCATATGCCTTTTCCAAGTCAACAAAGGCATGGTATAGGTTCTTGTCACCTTCCAGATGTTTCTCTTGGAGCTGCCTGTAGGCCGTGAGCTGAGACTGGAAATATGGCCAGAAATTAAGTTTTGCTAAAAAATTTAGGTGGCAAATGGAAATTGATGGTTTTATGTTGGTATATGGGGGCTTAGTTAAAAAGTACATTTTCCCCACAAAAATACTTGCACATTAACCATTGCTGCCCTAATTACAAATATACACACTGAAAAAATGATAAACGGAGAAAGGGTTAATTGGAGAGTGAATTAGACCCATCAAACTGGGGTTTAGGGGCAAGAAGTAAATTTAGAACTTAGAAATAAATAATTCCAAGCTGAAAATAATCCTTTTGACTCCTTCACAGCCAAAACAAATAAAATGCAACGTACAGAAAAACGGCATAACGAGCTAGTTGTTGGTTATCATAACTACTAGAGAAAAACCCAAGGCAAAATAATTTAATGAATGAAATCCATGCTGGCTGAATATTGTGCAACATGATGCTCAAGATGCTGTTAGTCATAAGTGTTAGTGGAGTAATTCACATGCTAAAGGTTAGTTGCAAGTCGAACTTCAATATGCTGAAACAACGGACTCATATTTTTTCCTGATCCTTGTCCTCAGCATGTTATATCCATAGTTAGAAATCGAATCATTCATAATCCATTGTAGCTGTAAAATTCCAGTCAGTGTCTTTAAATAGTTGGATATAGTCTGTCCACTGAATGAAACTAATGTCATTGTCATCTGGCTCCCGTGAGTTCTCCTCAGATTTCTGGTTTTGACAGTCTGTGCATTTACAGAGCTCACTGCAAGGGAGGTTATGTTCCAAACAGGGGCATTTTCCTTCGATTTCGTTTTTTTGCAACTGCATGATATGTACTTCAAAAGGGCAGGATGTTCCATAATTGGGAGAGGTTTCCATTTTGATGTTTTTCCCAACCATGATGCCCAACTGGACTTGGCAAAGCCATGTTTTGGAGCAGAGAACTACGATGAATATACACCTGGTAATTGGCTCGCCTTGTGTGATTCAACAATGCATCGCTGTTGGGGGGCATTGTGGCATCCAACTTGAATTTTGCTTGGAAAATTCTGTATCTGGCTTCATTCACTGCTGCCATGCTGTTCTTTCCATAGAGATCACACAGGAACTTTTCAATATCAGGAAGTGATGCATCACTGAATTCAATATTTTGGCCTATCTCTTGGAATATTTTCTGGTAGGATTCGTTGGTTTGCATGAGCTTGAATGCTTTCACCTTTCCCTGGCCCATAAAGGCACTTATCGAATCACAACCGGTGAAACAATGGAAGCCTATCAGTGCTTTGCAGATTTCTGGACCAAGATGTTGACTGACAGCATTGATGTGCAATGTCCTACTCTCACTCCATGATCCAAGATGGCTGTAGAGGTTTGAGAAGATAGTATCGGCAAGAGCTGTTGCAATCACAAAGGCATCAGTATCCTGACTGCGAATGACAATGCTGGCATCCTGATGTGTGGAGGCTGCTTGGCTGGCATGGAGAAACATCCTGGTGTCAGCTTCTTCATGATCACTGCAGAGCTTCTTGAACTGCCGTGGAGTCTTTTGCTCTCGTCCAGCTATCTTGATCCGCTGAACACCTAACTTGGCTCATTTGATGCGTTCTCCACCCTTGATGCTCTCTTCATGGTATCTGTCCGGAACAAAGTCCACTCGCCTAGCACCATAGGTTTCAGCAATGGAAAGTAACTTGCCCAGGATGTTGTCAGCCAGATTCCCAAATGTAGATGGTGTGTCCATCTCCGGCAGCAGGGCCATTCCATCCTGGATCCAGATGATGTCTGATGTTGCAGTAGGTGAAGTGAGCAGACGATCTTTAGGAACAAGATCATCAATAAACCTACGAAACTTGGATTTGTCAGTTCTCGTGAGTGTACCATCGGTAATTGCGAGTGATGGTGGGAATGGGTGTAGGCTGTGTGGTAATGCATCCTTCATGTCGAGATTGTGAACTTTGCCAGTCACAACCATCCTTCCGAGCAGGTCAGTACATATCTTCAATTCCATGTTCTTGGTCTTGTCCATGATAGGTTTGACAATGTCTGAAACGTTTTGAGTTTCATTTGTTTGATGGGTGAGAAGATGTCCTTTTCATCACCTGTGAGGCATTCGTCAACAAAGGTTCTATATGCCAACTGACCAGTTGTTTCAGCTCTTTGGATATCTGCCCGGATGCTTGGTGATGCGACTCCTCCAGTAGATACGTTTACAATGCCGTCAGCGTCAATTGTAAATGGATTACACATCACATGGGTCTATTGAGGAGACTCCTCCTCCCAAAGTAAGGTCTTTGGAGCCATTTTCAAACTGGGACATTCTCCAATATTGACTTGTCAGTTGGCTCACCTGATTCCCAGTTGAATTTCACTTGGCAGGTCATGGAAGACTTACATGGAAGTGACCACTTTCCAATACTTTTGGAAGAGGTGAATGGCATTCCAGCCATTGGAGTGCGGAGATGGCGACTTGAACATGCAGACTGGAATATTTTTAGTTCAACTGCAGTATTGCAAGGATCTGTGAATGATTTCCAGTGTGTTCAAGATGCTGTTAATCACTTCACATCGCGGATTCACCTTGCAGCAGAAGCATCAGTTCCCAGAAGTAGTGGGCAGTACTGTCGACCTCCGGTACCATGGTGGTCTGATGAATGCCAACAAGCTGTCAGAGCAAGAAAAGCTGCATTAAGGCAGTTGAAACGACGCCCAAGCGATGTAACCTTGATCCAGTACAAAAAGACCCGAGCCAAGGCCAGGCGAGTGCTAAAGGAGGCTAGACGGACATCATGGAGGCAGTTTGTCTCCTTGATTAACTCTGGGACCCCCTTAGCATGGGTATGGGACAAGGTGCGTAAGATCGCTGGGAAGAGCACATCCATATCACCACCTGCTCTGAAAATAGATGGCATAATCCTCATAGACAAAACAGATTCTGCCCGATTCTCCACTCTTCGGGCTGAACAGGAACGACATCCAGTGTCGTTCTTCAGTAGCACTGCAGCAGAACTTCCATACAACTTGCCATTTTTGCGCAAGGAGATGGACTCTGCTTTGCAGCTCTGCTGTAAGACTGCCCCAGGAAGTGACGGTATTCCATACCAAATGATATCTCACTTACCAGAGCGCTCCCAAACGTTCCTGCTGGATCTATTCAATAGGATCTACAGGGAGGGAACAGTGCCATCCACATGGAAAGAAGCTATCATCATT